ATAGTAAAAAGGAAAATATCAAAGATGATCCTTTTCATCATCATCATATAACGGGGGTCCTACGGCGATTGCCGCTTCCCGCATTTCAGCCTTCATCTTTTCCTATCTCTTCAATCCCCTCTTCTAAGCCTCTAGATTGCATTGTTTTTGTAATTTCTCTTCTCCAGAAATTTGGTGGTCTTCCCCTTCTCCTTCTTTCTGGCGGAACATACATTAAGGCTTTCTTTGGACACCGCTCCTCCTCCATTCTCATCACGTGACCATACCATTGTAATTGCCTTCCTTGTATTCTATCTGAAAGAGTCTCTCTAATTCCTGTACGGTTTCGTATTTCCTCATTCCTGATTCTTTCCATTCTCGATACTCGACATGACCTTCTAAGATAATCCATTTCCACAACGTCTACTTTATCTCGTTCATTCTTTGTCATCGTCCAACATTCGGCACCATATGTGGTAATCGGTTCTACAATTGCTCTGTATATTCGAAGTTTGGTATGCATCTTTATTTTATTAGACCACAGTAATGAATTCAGTATTCGGATGCTTTTTTTCCCTTGGGTTATTCGGTTTTGTACATCTATCTCTGCCATCTGCTGATATGATGCTTCCTAGATATTTATACTGGTTGCAACCTTTTATGACGGCGTTTTCAAGCCTCAGATCTGTGGTATTTCCTTCAATTTTTAAATATTCTGTTTTGCTTATGTTTACAGTAAGCCCCCATTTGGCATATTCCTCAAATAATTTTCGATTCATATAATTTATATCTTCCTCATCGGTTGCAACCACCACCTAATCATCGGCAAACAACAATGTATACAGAGTTTCTTGTCCCACTTCGATGCCCATAAATCTCTATTTATTTCTCCAATTCCTCAATGCTTCTTGGACGTATATTTTAAAGAGTGTCTGTGACAAACAGCATCCTTGCTTTAGGCCTTTAGTGACTTTAAATTGATTTGAAGTTCTGGTTGAATTGCGACATATTTTAGAATCTGAAGGGGATGATGAATATATATCTTCAGGATCCAGCGGTGAACAATATTCAGACAACAGTGATGACTGGTGTACTGATGACGATTATGAATTGGAACATTTGACAGAAGAATTAGCAAATCAAACAACTCCGTAAGTTGAAATGCCCGGTGCTACTACTTCTGGTAGAAATTCACCTACGTGGGTAGATATAGAAGAACTACAAAAACTTGAATTTCGGAGCCGTCGATCATTCTTGGCAAACTTCGACAGTAACAATCCAAATGATTTTTTCACATTGTTACTTGATGAACATTTGCTGGAACTGATTGTACAAACGCTAACGAAAATGATGTAACCATCTTTCTCTCTGAAACATAAAACAGAAATCTCGTATTACCTCCTGGAAGGAGCTGTGAAGGAGACTGTGGAAGAATTGAAAACTTTTATTGGAATATTATTGTTAACAGGTACCATTTAGTTTTGAAATGGCATGGGTATGCAGTACAAATTTTCCAATTTATTTTAGGTATGATACAGCTCCCAAGATTGTCGGACTACTGGTCCACACACAGGTTGTTCAAAACTAATTTTTCGAAGTACATGCCCAAAAATAGATTTTTAATAATTATGTGATGCTTTCATTTTGCACCAAATGACGTTTGATTAATCCAGATCGTTTAGGCAAAATACGTCTTGTAGTGAATCATTTCAATAGAGAAATGAAATCAATTCTTTCTTTAGATGAATCCATGTTGGAGAGGAAGATCTATATTCCGGCAATATATACAAAATAAACGTCATAAGTATGGTATTAAACTGTACATGTTGACAGAACCTGATGGATTTATTCACAATTTTATCGTTTACAGTGGGACAGGGGATGAAACCAGCGGTACTGGCCACACAGAAAGAGTGGTATTGAAGTTGTTACAGAAGAAATACAATGTTGGACATTCGGTATTTATGGACAGGTTTTAAAATAGCTATGAATTGGGACGACGAAAACTGTTTTCAAACGGAACTTATTGTACAGGAAAAATACACAGAAATAGAAAAAGTAATCCAGTGCATGTTGTACAAAAAAGAGTTCACGTGAGCAAGTGGAATGATAAAAGAGAGGTATTGGACCGAGTGAATTCTATCACTACCCAGCGTAATCAGAAGTCGATATTTGAGCTCTTTGTGTAATTTGCTTCGATTGATATAAAATTTCACGAATTTTGGGTCATTTGTCAAACTTCCGGTCATATATTTATAACAGGAAGTGATATAAAAACCTGAAGTATATATTTGTTCTCGTCTTTATAAGGCGTGTTGTATAATATATCGTTTGTACTATTTGGGCGACTTTAAAACTGTTCTCCCGCAACTTTAATACCATCTTTGGATTATAAGCTTTCATTCGACACCTCATTTGTCATTCTATCTGATCTTATAACGCAGAAGCTTGTTTTGAAATGAGTAAAAACAAAAAACAAAAATATAAGAAACATAAACCGATGTAAAAGCAACACACCGTAATCATGAAGGGTAGATTGTTTAGGACATATCTGTGGCTGAAAGGCAAAAGGAGATAAGTTGATTTTTTGCAAAATAGAGTTATGTATACCATTCGACAGCATTTTTGATTCTGCACAATCTTGGTAGAGTTAAGTCAGACAACAATCTTCTTTTCCGTTTACCCTCAGCATGCAGCACATATTCAGCTGAACTCTACGCCATATACCGTGCTGTGAAACTTCTTAACAGATTCCCTTAGCTCTCTAAACTCATTAAAACACATTTTTCCGAAACATCCTTTTAAAAAGTTGCTAAAATACCAGCTTTCCCAAACTCATGAACATGGAAGAAGCGTCCAATTTTAATGGGCTCCCTAACACGTTGGAATAACAGGAAATGAAGAAGCTGACAGGATTGCACGAGAGGCTATTTTAAGTGATTTGTCGGAGCCGATAGACAAATGTGTTTCCAGTGATTTAAAAGCTTATTTTAAAAATAAAGTGTTGTGTTTGTGTCGAAATGAGTGGTCTCAAACTAATTCTAATCTAAATAAAATTAAAAATAATGTGCCTCAGTGGTTTCCATCGTCGCGCAATAGACGGGAACAAATTGCGGTTGCGCGTTTACGTCTTGGACATACCAGATTAACGCACTCCTACCTTTTTACAAAGAAAAATTCACCTATATGTGATCAGTGTAACGTCCGATTAACAGTCGAACACTTTTTATAATTTGTAGTAAATATGATCAAGAAAGACAGCGCTACAAGATCCCAAACGCTCTACCACAGGCTCTAGGTCAAAACTGTTCCTATGAAAATATAGTGAATTATCTCAGATCCATAAACATTTTGTACAATCTGTAGGTGTCTAACTTTGTTATTTATATTTTGTTCCGTCGCTAATAACCTTTTAGTGGATGCGACATCTTTTTCTAATAAAAATAATACCTAATCTAATCCTAATAACCGGTTTTTACTTTAACCGGTTATAACCAGGACAAAAAACAATCGATAAAACCGGTTATTGCGAAGTAAAAAAACCGGTTTCCGGTTAAAACCGGTAGGTTTTTCCCATCCCTATTTTATACAGTGATACTTAGCGGACAAAATAAAAACTCATTTGTGTCTGCAATGTTTATTAAGTCAAAATAATAACTTGAAGCGTTGATTGAATAATTATTCAATCAACGCTTGAAGGTAATTGATCATACATTTTTAGTGCCTGGCCATATTCACAGGGAGTGTGACGTAGATAACGCAACAATAGAAAGATTTAAAAAAAATGTCCATTTCCTATCCATGTACCTAGAGATTGGTATAACTTAGTAAGATCTGCAGGAACAAAACGTACTACTACTGCTAAACAAAAACAAAAAACAGAGGAAACAAACCAAACAGAAAAAAATAAGTTTACGGTAGTTGACATGACCCCAAATCTTTTTTTTTATTTTAAAAATTTATTCAAATGAATGTTAATAAAGAGAAAGAAGACAGACAATAAGAATGAAATTTGCTGGAGAAATATGAAATGGCTAAGATACACCAAGGAATTTGGTATTGTTAATTTTAAAACATCGCTTCAGGAATATGAGCCATTTCAAGAAATTAATTTTAGAAGATAAAAAAAAAAGATACACCCATCGATATAAAGAACATTACTTTAGATAATTTGTATGATAAGCCAAGACAAATAAGTGAAAAAAAAGTAAGCGATCTTTTAGACCTTATTGAGGTTGATGAGATTGCAAAAGAATTTTATCGTGGACTTGCCAAAATCCCACGAAATTTACAAGATCTGAAAATATTCAGAATACAAGAAAATATTCTAAAACAAATATTTGTCTAATTTATTATTTTAAAGAAACAGCTTCCGAAAAATATTTGTGTTCATCAATTTTTTTTTTCTTCCTGCGAAAGCTATTCTGTTTGTAAAAACTTTCAAATGGGAATTATCCCCTTTTACCTTCTAGCCACAGATATAAAAAGAAAAAAAATAAAAGAATGCTACAATTAGTTTTTTCAAGGGAATCATTGCCAAATTTTTGCACTGTTTAATTTATTTTGTTTTTAGAATTATGTAGTTTAAACTGTATGATTTAGGATTGTAACTTTTATGCCATATACTTCTTAGTCCTGTTTCACTAAATCACTAAATATTGCTGTAGGATAATATGGCATTCGAAGACGTATAACAATAGTAAAATTCTTGCGCCGTGAACAAAAGCGTGATTCTATTCATGGAAAGTTCAGTCACCGTTAAATAGTTTTTCAAACCTTCCCTTTAATCAAAGCTTACAATACAATACACACACATTGGATTTTTTATTTAATTTACGCAGAAAATAGATTCCCTGATTTTCGTTTTAAAATATCGATTAAAAATACAAGAAGCAATAAACCTTACATTTTTTCATGAGAAAATCTCCGAAATAATCAATAATAAAACCATACGGAAAACAGCATGCGCTGGTCATTTTTGTTGGCCGCGTTACTGGACAGTGGTCAGTCGAATTACAGCTATTGCCACGTGGTAGTTCTTTAAGTTTTACACCGGCACTTCAGGTAATTACACTTGGACTAATTCATTTTATTATATAATTGGTTCTACGATGTTTACAGTGATTTATAAACTGTAATAGATACAATTTTTAGTGTTTGTTTACATTCATTTATTAGGTACATATCTTTATGGCATAGTTTACGCAGTGATATACAAACACAAAACTTAATTAACGAGTTGTGGTTTTTAATATATATGAGATCTTCTTCTTTTTCCTCTTTAGAAGCAATTCTGCTTGTTACCTCTATGGAAGGTTGACACTCCATCTTTTGCACGGTCTTCCGATACTTCTTCTGCCGATTTGTAACTTATCTCTTGCTATTTTTACGACACGGATCTCCTCCATTCTGCTTATGTGCCTACACTGTACGTTACATTTTCTTCTAATGCCTCCACTTCTCGTTCGATCTCTCAGCGTATTTCCTGTTATTATTCTCAGTGCTTTCATCTCTGCCGTTTTCAGTAGACTTAGCGGTGTGGCTGTGCCGGGTCTTGTTTCTGATGCATATGTCATTATTGGTCTTACACTGTAGTGTTAATGTGCTAGTTTACTTGCTTTTTGTATTTGATCTTTCATTTCTTTGTCCAAGTCTACATAGCTGGGCAATGTAATTCCCAGGTATTTTATTTCCATTACTTGTTCAATATTGATGCCCTCAATCATGCTACTTGCAACATATTCTTTCTGTCTACTCTGATCATGAGCCTACTATTAGGTATCTATATCTAAATATAATAAAAAATAATAATTTAAATCTGTATTCAAATCAAATTAAATTTAAAATAAAATGTCTAAACGGCGTTGCTTTAGAGCCATATGGTTTATTACCTCTTCATCTATTTGAATGTTCTGATGGATAAACATCAAAGCTAAACCATTTAGTCTCTCTTTGCTAACAGAATTTCTTAAATCAGTATTTAGTAATTTCAGCGATGAAAATAACCTTTCACATGCACAGGTCGTTACAGGTATATATATATATATATATATATATATATATATATATATATATATATATATATATATATATATATATATATACATCCTCATATACATTCTTGTCTAACATCCCTCACTTTTGTTTTCTCTCTTATCCACTCGTTTCTCTTCTTATCCATTAGTCTTATGTGCAACATTTGTCTTTCCATTGCTCTTTGGGTTTTTATGATTTTGTCCATGTTTGCTTTTGTAGATGTCCACGTTTGGGAACCATAAGTAAGAACAGGGAGTACGCATTGATTATATACTTTGGTCTTAAGATGCTGTGGATATCTTTTGTTTTTAAGAATGTAGCTTAGTTTGCCAAATGCCGCCCATGTCAGTCTAACTCGTCTCTTAATCTCTGCTGTTTGGTTCTCTTTGTTAAGTTTTATAGTTCAACCAAGATATATATAATCCTTAACTTGTTCTATTTCATCTTGTCCGATTCTCATTGTGATGTCTTCATCTGTATTTGTTATAGTTTTGGTCTTGCTGTAATTCATATTAAGGCTTATTTTTCCAGCTTCTACGTCCAGTTCTTTCATCATTTCAAATAATTCTTCTTTTTTATCGGTTATCAATACGATGTCATCAACGTACCTTAGATGGTTCAAGCGTTGTCCACAAATTTTTATACCTTTGTTTTCCCATTCTAATCTTTTAAAAGTATCTTCAAGAGCCTGATTGAAAAGTTTCGGTGATATTCTATCACCCTGTCTCACGCCTCTACTTATTTATAATGATTTTGTTCGTTCATATACTTTAATTGTTGTTTTGGCTTCCTTATATATATTGGTTATTAGTTCCGTATATCTGTGGTCAATTCGGCTGTTAATCAAAGAACTTTTCACTGCCCAATGTTCGACACTGTCGAAAGCCTTTTCGAAATCTATGAACGCCATATATAGAGGAGTGTGGTATTCATTTGCTCGTTCTATAAGTATTTTCATACTTAGTAAATGGTCACTTGTGCTGAATCCCTATCTAAAACCAGCTTGTTCTTTCGACTGGTATCCATCGAATTTTGTCGTCAATCTATTGGTTAAAATTTTTGTTAGGAGTTTATACATTACATTGAGGTGTTATAGGACGGTAGTTTTTTATATCTGCTTTATCCCCTTTCTTGTGTAGGATAATGGTTACTGATTCCTTCCAGTTGTTTGGGATTCTTTTTTCTTTTAATATCTTGTTAAAAAGGGAATGTAGAGTATTAATTACCACTTTTCCACTATATTTCAGCATCTCCGCAGTTATTCCATCTTTTCCAGGCGATTTGTTGTTTTTCATTTCTTTCAATGCCTTCTTTATTTCTGATTTGCTCATTTCGGGCTGCAGCTCTGAGTTGACATTTTTTATTTTGACCTTAAGTTGGTTTTTAATTTCTTCTGGTGGTTCCTTTTTTGTTTTATACAATTCTGAGTAGAAATGGTGGATTGTTTTATATATTAAATATATTTTATATTTATGATGTCATCTTTAACGTTTGTTTCTATTCCATTTACATCTTTTATTTTGTTTATTTCAAACTTACCTAATTTCGGCCTTAAGCATTTCATATTTTTGTTGTTTTGTATTACTTTTTCTATTTTTATTTCTTGTTCTTTTCTCTTATTTTCTTTTATCATTCTGCTTATTGTTTTATTAATTTCTACATATTCTATAGATTTCCTTTTGCCTTCTTCGTTCAGCTTCCTTTTTTATCCATAAGCTTCTTTGTTTCTGTTGATATATAGTTGTTCTTTTTTAGATCCTTCTTTGCTATTTCTTTTCCTGATGTAATCATTGTTGCTGTAAGTATGTTGTCTATTTCGTCTATATCTTTATCGTCACTGTCTAATCTTTGGGTAAGTTGTTCTTTTAATAGGTCTTTGTATATCTCTTTATATTGCCCTAGTTTGTTTCTATCTACTAGATTCCAGTTTCTACTTATTTTTCTTTTCATCTCATAGTTATCGTCAATACTAATTTTTGCTCTGACCATCCTGTGATCGCTACCTGTTGTGAATCTGTTAAGAACTGTTACATCTTTAATGATATATCGTTCCGTGGACAGTATGAAGTCGATCTCATTTTTTGTGGATCCATTAATATTTATTAATGTATATATTAATGTATAATAAACATTAATATTTGTGGATCCGTGTTATTAATATCGTCAATTTGGTCTTAATTATGTGATGGATCTGATTTGAACTTGCCCGCTAAGACATTTCGAAAATCCTCTTCATCTGTTCTTACTTTGAAGGCAACTATCCGCGTTGTTATTTTAAAAATCCTTTTTCGCCTTTCTTTCAGGTTAATATTTATTTTCGCTCTAACTATACGATGGTTATTGTTGTGACATCTTCAAATATTCTTTTGTTGTGTGAGGGAAAATAGTCTATTCATTTTTGGTAATTCCGTTAGATGCGCTCTATGATCCATGTCAACTTTCTCTTGGGTTTCTTTTTGATAACAGATATTCATAGCCCTACATGTTTTCTTCTTTTAGGAATTCCATACGTTTCTCTTGCGTTTCTTATGCCGAATTCGACATTTCCAATCTTGTGTTCGAAGTCTTCAATATTTCTTCCAATTTTTGGCGTTAAAATCTCCCATTATTATTCTTATTTTAAATTCTTTGTTGTTCTCTATAACCTTATTAAGGTCTTCGTAAAAAACATTTATTTCATCGTCAGTTGCTTTTTCAGTTGAAGCATAAACCTACACAATCCTTATTATGGTTTGTGAATTTGATGTTATGAATTATTTGAATTATTTGAATATTCCCTCAATTCTGCCATTTATTTCCGTTGGTTTCTTATGAATCTCCATATTTGTTTTTGTGTACCGCAGAAGTCGCTTTCTATCCTTTTTGTAAACTGCTCCCATTGTTAATTTTTTGTTCTTGTTACCAACTGCTTTCGTATTCTTCTATAGGTGTCTCGGGATTCTGGAGTATTTGATGTTTTGTACTGCATGTAGGCCTTTCGTTTCTCTTTAGATTTCTCTGTTATTTTTTTTCTGAACCATAGTGTATTGTTGTTGTTTCTTTTGTTCAATGTGACTTTGCGTTTACCTAGAGCTTCTGTTGCTGCTTCTTTAATGTTGTTTTTAATTTTCTCACAGCTCGCGTTTATATCTTCGATGTTTCAGCTGTATTTTCTGTGCTAGCCACCTTTGGTACATTTCTCTTGTAAAGTCTTTCCCCAGTAATTCTACATTAAATGTTTCCTCAGTGATTTCTTATAGAAAATGTTTTGGTGATATTTTCATTTTTATTTTTAATACTACTAGTTTGTGTTCACTCCCTGTGTCGGATATCTAGAATCTGCTTTGGGTGGATTTTTCCATTGATGACTATAAAATCAATCGTAGATTTGTGTCCTCTGGAATTTTTAATTGTATATTTATACTGGAGCTTATGGTCGAAAAATGTATTATTGATTCTCAGTTCGTTACTAGCATAGAGATTAGTTAATGAGTTCTCCATTTGCGTTGACACGGTTTTCATTAAATCTTTGTTTTACTCCTGGAACTATTTCATTTCCGATTCGTGCATTAAAGTCATCCACAAGAATTAACGGTCTTCATAAGGTATTTCATCCAGGATGGTTTACAATTGTTCGTAAAATGTCTCTCGTTCCTCCTTAGGTCTGCAGTCCTCGGGGCTATAGATATATAGTAAAACATTCTACAAAATTATTATTATTATAGTGGCTTCCCACCGGCGATTCTACAGATCATCGCGGACAGCCGATCAGCACGGACGACAACGCACCGCAGACAGAGCTCTTCCTACGGTCCGTGACAGTCTGTGTAGGTCCGTGACAGTATTGTTTGATTATATCATAAAAAGGCCACTCAGGCTTGTAAACATCATCAGCCCCACTTCCAGTTCCCATCGATTCTCCAACTTTTGTTTTTTGCCTTTTGTATGTCGGCATTAAATTATTTCTCATCTTTTTTAATTCTTTAATCTTCGAAATAGTACTATTCTTCAATTGATTTTTTATTTGGTTCCGTACATCGTATATATCG